CTGTGGGCATGGGGTGAGTCTCGGGGGTATAGGGTAACATCTGGAGAGCTCAGTGTGACCATGGGGATGTCAGCTGAGCCCCTGGGGACACAGGGCGAGTCCTGGTGATGAGGGGTGACACCGGGTACATGGGGTGATTCCCAAGCAGCACTGTGAGCGTGGAGCAATCCATGGGGATGTGGGATGAACCCTTGAGTGTCATGGGGCGAGCACCCTGTGGGCATGGAGTAAACCCTGGGGATGTGAGATAATTCCTGGGGCATGGATTGAGCACTTGGAACATGGGGTGACCTTTGGGGACATGGAAGGAGCCGTGGGGATGTGGAGTGACCCCCACAGGGATGTGGAGCTCCAGCAGCAGCTGCACACTTACTTTCCTGCTCGACGGTCAGGAGCGTGGTGGTGACCACCTCGGTGGCCTGGGAGGGCTGGTCCCTGCTGTCTGTCACTGCTGGGACAAGCGTGGGGACATGTGGGCATTGAGGGGTCCTGACACAGCACCCACTGCCCCTGTTCCAGTCGGTGCCAGTGACCATCAGCACCATTTCTGTCCCCTGCCATGGGCAGTGTCACCCCTCGAGTGTCACCCATGCCTGGCTGGGGCACAGAGGACATAGAGGGCACAGCTTCCCCCCCCTTATGAGACCTCCTACCTGTGGCCGTGGCTGTGAGGGTCTCCTCAGAGTCCAGGGCCAGCGAGGTGGTGAATGATGTGATGGTGGATGTGTCCAGTCCTGTCGTGACACAGAGGGACAGAGATGACGCCTGGAGATTTATCATCAGGATTCATTAGCATTCATACTTCATTATCCCCTGCCCCTCTAAGCAAGGTCTGGGCGTGGTGGTGCCATTGAGGAGGAGCCAGAGGGGATGGGGATGTTTAGGCAGGAAAGGGACAGCCTGAAAAAATTGTCCCTTTTGTCCTACATCATCCCCTTTGTCCATTAACAGTGAGAAAGGGAAAGCACTGGCACTCACTGCTCCCGTCATTAGCCACGATAATGAGGGAATTCAGGGGGATTATTAAGATTATAAACAGTAATCAGTGGAGGATGGCAGGAATACATCATTTCAGGAGGGGAAGGGGAGGCAGGCTGGGCCTGGCGCCGTGCCCAGCCCCTGGCAGCCTCTCCCTCCTTCCGGACACGGGCAGCTCGTTTGCAGCCAGCAGAGCAGGGAAATGGCAGAGGGAAGTGCAGGATGGCAGATGCATTTCCCTGGCAGGACGGGCAGGTGCATTACCCCTGCAAATCCCCACCCTGGTTGTGCTCTGGGCTCTTGCTGTGGGGTTGCCACTCTGGAATACCATGATGAGTGTGGATAAGGAACAAGGATGCTCCCACAGCACAGAGCCTGCCCAGCCTTGAGCATCTCAGCATCTCCCTGAGGCCATTTCTGCTTGGAGAACAGGCTGTCCCTGGGTTTGTCCCCACCCTGAAGCAGTGCCCTGCCTGGTACCTGCACAGATGACCCCGGCATCCTCGTGGTGGCCGCAGTTGTGGATGCCCCAGCCCAGGCTGTAGCAGGCAGACAGGAAGGGCTCGCTGCCGTCGCAGTTGACATTGTCCAGGAGGATCCGTCCTGTTCCATAGCCAAAGTAGGCATTGCTCTTGTAATCCAGGGCTTGCCCACAGCCCAGCTGCTTGCAGACCACGCTGGCATCGCTCAGGCCCCAGTCGTCATCGCACACGGTGCCCCAGCTGCCGCGGTAGAAGATCTCCACCCGGCCCTGGCAGGTGTCGGGGCCGGCCACCAGGCGGATGCTGCCGTCACCTGGNTCCTGAGCCCCACACAGCACCCAGCCAGAGGCCAGCTTATTATTCCAGAGCGTGGCAAAATAATTAAAGCCTCCTCCATTTCCCCTTGCTCATTTGTGCTCCTTCAGCCTGGATTAATGGGTCTCTTCTCCCAGCACAGACTCATTCCTTATTCCTAATAGCCCATAAATCCCAGCCTCAAAATAACCCCAGCTTTTGCCTGGACCTGCTGAAATATTTATCCTCTCCCCCCTGCTACCCCCCACACCATCCCCTCTCCGGGGATGGGGAGAGGAACCAATCGATGTCATCGACCGGTGTGGAGCTGCAGCTGCTCCGGGCGCCGGGAAACAGCTGACGTCGGCAGGAGGATGGGAGCTGGGCAGGAGCTTCTCCCGGCTCCCCCGCAGCCGCTGCAGCCTGGCTGTGCTCCCGTGGTGGGATGCTCTCACACCCTTGGCACCCCTGCACTGGTACACTGCTCCAGAGCATCCTCTGTGCTGTTACTGAGCTCCAGAGCACCCCCTGTGCTGCTGCCGAGCTTTACAACATTCTTTGTGCTGCTACCCTGCTCCACAACATCCCCTGTGCTGNCCACGGAGAGCCCGCACACAGCCCATGCCCACTCAGAGTCCACACGGCACACACGGCCTATCCTCACTGTGCCCACTCAAAACCCGGCCCACTGAGAGCCCGCACATGGCACACCGGGCCCATGCCCACTCATAATCCAGAACCACTCAGAGCCCACACACGGCCTGTGCCCACTCAGAGCCCGTGGGCACTCACAACTTGGAGCCACCCACAGTCTGGTCTCAGAGCCTGGAGCCACGCACAGCATGGTCCCACACATGGCCAGACCCACACAGATCCTGATCATACACCCTGAACCCACCTACTGTCCAAACCCACTCACAATCCACGCCCGCTCACAACCAGATCCCACTGAAAACCCTGCTCCACTCACAACCCACTCGCAGCACCGTTCCCCCATGGAGACCCTGCGGGTGTTGCTGTGCCTGGGGTCACTGTGGCACTGCTGGGCCAAGTCATGGTGACACATCTTGGGGTGATGTCCCCTGCTTTCCCCTGCCCCCTTTTCCCCACCATGGCCAGGTCCCAATCCACAGAGGAGAGCATTCCCACTGGGGATCAATGCTGGACAGTGACAGCCACCTTGGGCATTCACTTATGGATAACCCATGGGATGAAAACATGTCTGTTCCAGCCATGGGGAGAGCCACTGGGAGTTGTAAGACATCCCACTTTCCTAAAAAAATCTATGGATAAAGTGATGCTGAGAGGAGGCTATAGCACTGGGAGGAATGAAAGGCTTTAATGGATCCTGTTTTCCTGAAAACCCTCTGCATAAAGTGGTGCTGAGAGGATGCTGTGGCACTGGGAGAAAGGAAAGGGCTCTGATAAACAGTGTGATCCCAATGGAAGCACTTTATCCTGCTTGGAGAGAGCCAGGCAGTGCTGATGCACAGATAAACACTGTATTTCATGAGCCACATGTCCCTGGCCCTTCCCAAAGCCACTGTCCCTGCACAGGTGCTGTGGGATGTGTGAGGATGAGCTCAGAGGACTCAGCCATCCCCCTGTGCCCTGTGGTTTCCTTCTGAAACCTCACAGGAAGCCTGGGTGGCACTGGGACGTGCCCATGTCCTCAGGGCACTGCTGTGGCTGTCCAGAACCCACAGCCACGGCCTCACCCACAAACAAACTGGTTTGGGAATGCTGCTGGTGGCGAGCAACACCCTTTTGGGCCAAGATTTTATTGTGGGTTTAGCACTGCTCTGCAAAGAACAGAGAACGGCATCGCCTGGATTTGTGCAGCACAAAATCCTCCTTTGTTTACAGCTTCCGAGAGCAGAAGAAATCCCCCCCACTCTGCTAAACAGAAGCAGAAACACGCCCAGATCCTCTCCATTTCCTCTGCAAAAACCAGCGGCTGTCTCCTCCCTCACACCCCGCAGCAGCGCACGTGGCTCGGGGTGAGAACAGCCTTTGTTTGTGCCCAGCCTTTGTTTACTGCCCGGCCATCCCGAGGAGAGATCCCTCAGACAAGGGCAGTTTATTCCTCTGCCCTGATAAAGGCTCATTCACCCTCCCCTGGGGGCTCTGGAGAGCTCCCACTGCACAGCTCTGGGTTGTTTTCAGCCTGGCGCCAGTTTTGGGACAGGGTTTGAGTAAAAAAGTGCAGAATGAAAGAGAATTATAAAGGAGTTTGGTTCCCAAATTAATTTTTCTGCTATTTCTTATCAATAATCTGGAGGTATCTGTGGGGCATCACCCGAGCCAAGCGCGCTCAGATCTGTGAATGAATGAGAGCAGATTCCCTGCTCATCTCCTTTTGGGTGATCCTACTGCATTTGGGCTGGATATATGCATCCTCCAACTTAGAAAATAAATAATATTATCCCTTGGGTACAATTCCTGGGTTCTCCTGGACAATATTGAACACAAGCCCAGACCTGAAGAAGTGCTTTTGCACCTGGAAGATCCCCTGATTTCTCCAAATATATCAACAGTCCTAATAAAAACTGTTGCCTCTCCATATAAACCTTTGGAATCTTATCTAGTATTTTCCATAAACCTGGCACATTCTCAGCCAGCCCGACTCTGCTGATTTACAGTGACCCTGTTTTTGCCCCAAAACGAGCAAATACTGATTTATTTCTGTCAGAGCACCAGAGCCATAAATACATTTCCCAACGCAGATGATTTCCTTCCCCATCACAGGTCAGAACAGGATATTCATGATGCTGTAAATTCTTCAGAGTAGCAAATCTGGCTGTAATATTTATCTGCAGTGAATCCAGCCCCCTTTTTTTTGAGCTCTGATGCATAAATCAACACCCCTCAAACACCTAATTCCTCTGCTGCACAGCCTGGGCAGCAGTGGGGTGAAGGTTTGGTGCTGGATGGTCCAGGTTAGAAGGTTCTGGTGGGCAGCACGGGCAGCTGGAGGTGTTACCTGGCTGGACATCACTAAATCCCCTTTCCCCACTTCTGGTGCCTGCAAACAACCCTCAGTGAGAGCCTGGGGCAGCTGCTGTGTTGGGAAATCACAATTGACCCAAAGGATGTGGGTCTGTTCTGCAGATGTCCCAGAAAAACCTAATAACCTGGATTCCGCCTGTGGGATTAAAAATACTTCTCTGCCTTCAGATGTGCCACTTTGTTAATTCCTGTGGCCTGGAAGAAGAGTCTTTCCCTTTGCATTTTCTTGCTTTCTCTGCTACGTCTTGTCAATGCCTTGTGACACCGTGAGGGCAGGCAGGAAATTCTCTGTGACTTGGAGTTTGCTTGGCTGAGCTGCTGACTGCTCTGAAAATGGATCCAGAAATCCTCACCCCTCACTTCCAGCAGGAGAACAACAGTCATGTGCCCCTACTTGTGCCTTGTCCCTCCATGTCTGCCTGCTTGGAGCCAGGGAGATACCCAGGGAATGGGATGCCCAGGGAAAGGGATGCTCAGGGAAGGAGATGCTCAGGGAAGGGGATGCNCTCTCCCCTCGTTGGAGTCCCCTTTGATTTACAACATAGCTCAGCCAAGCCCTAAAATTAATCCCTGCAGCCCACACATGGCACACAGGTCCTGGAGGGATGCACAACAACTGCTGCCACTTCAGGCATCTGCTGGTGATCAGAAACTCGAGAAAGGTCTTTGAAATCCTCATTGAAATCAGTGGCTAACCCCTCCTTCCCATGGAAACCCCTCACCCAGCTTCTTGCTCTTGAGAAGAGCTCTCAGGTAGGACCATGTACTGGTGTCCACCCAGCCAAGGCCCCTCCACACCATGGGCTGGGGTGTCACTAATATATTTTATGAAAAATCTTTTCGTTAAGATCTTTTCTCCTGAGAAGCTTAAGCTTCTCCATGTTTTGTTGCTTTGGAGAATTGTTTACCCAGCATGTGAAATTGTTTTTACTTGATGACCAATGACAGCCACCTGTGTCAAGGCTGTGAGCAGTCACAAGATTTTATTATCATTCCTTTCTATTCCTTTCAAGCCTTTTGATGAAATCCTTTCTCCTATTCTTTTAGTATAGTTTTAATATATTAATTTTATTTTAATATAATATATATCATAAAATAATAAATCAGCCTTCTGAAACATGGAATCAAGATTCTCATCTCTTCCCTCATCTCTGCAAACACCACCACACTGAGGGGCTCCAGAGCCTCCAGACCAAGGCTTGGACCTCATTGCTTTCACCATATACTATTAATATATCATTTTCTTTTAATATAATATATATCATAAAATAATAAATCAGCCTTCTGAACATGGAGTCAAGATTCTCATCTCTTCCCTTATCCTTGGACCCCTGCATACACCACAACACTGGGGGCTCCAGAGCATCCTGGCCAAGGCTTGGACCTCATTGCTTTCACCATATACTATTAATATATCATTTTCTTTTAATATAATATATATCATAATAAATCAGTCTTCTGAAACTTGGAGTCAAGATTCTCATCTCTTCCCTCATCCCTGTGAACACCACCACACTGGGGGGCTCCAGAGCATCCAGACCAAGGCTTGGACCTCGTTGCCTTCACCAGGGTGAGATGATGGTGGACCAAAGGGTTTTCTGGGCACCAGCAAGAGGTGATGGAGGTGCAGGAAGGAGCTCGTTTAGGTGGGACTCAGCCCAGTTCCATCTCCCTGCTCTCTGCCCGGCTCCTGCTGCCCAAGCCTCTGGAGGAGACAGACAAGCTCAGTGATGGGGGCTGAAAACCAATCCACTGGCTGAGGTGGTGGCTTTCAATACTCCATTCATCCCTCCTGCAGCACCGAATAATGTCGCCTTTTGTGCCTCGGGCGCTCCCCTCTCTCCAGCAGGGCAGGGCTGACAGATGGCCCCGGCCCGNCCGGTGTCCCCTGCTGACCCTCCGAGGGCGTGGGGTGAGCCCCTGGTTTTCGGGGTAAGCCCTGGGGATGTGAGTGCAGCTCCCTAGGGGTGTGGGGCAATCCCTTGTGGGCATGGGGTAACCCCTGGGGACATGGTTTTTGGGGTAAACCCTGGGGATCTGCGTGCAACCCCCTGAGCATCTGGGGCAAACCCCTGTGGGCATGGGGGGACTCTCTGAGGTATGGGGTAACTCCTGGGGATGTGTGACAAACCCCTGTGGGCATGGGGTGACCCCTGGGGATGTGGGTACACCCCCTGGGGATCTGGGACAAACCCCTGTGGGCGTGGGGTGAGACCCTGGTTTTTGGGGCAACCCCTGGGGATATGGGGCAAACCCCTGTGGGCATGGGGTGAGTCTCTGGGGATGTGGGTACATCCCCCTGGGGATCTGGGGCAAACCCCTGTGGGCATGGGGGTGTCCTCTGAGGTATGGGGTAACCCCTGGGGATGTGGGGCAATCCCCTGTGGGCATGGGGGGAATCTCTGGGGTATNCAGGGAAGGGGATGCCCAGAATGGGAGATGCCCAGGGAAGGAGATGCTCAGGGAAGGGGATGCCAAGAGAAGGGGATGCCCAGGGAAGGGGATGTTCAGCATGGGAGATGCATGGTGCAGGTGTCCCAGCCTGTCCCCACAACAGGAGTTGTCACCACAGGTACACCAGCACACCTGCCACACCACCAGTGACCTGACTGCTTGGTGTCTTCAGCTGGTGGGTGGCAAAGCTGTGAAGGCCAGGGGACACAGGGTGGCATTTCCCAGGGTTGGTGTGTGGCTGCCTGTTCCCACCACCC